GCTTGAAACCATGCTCCATCCCAGCTCCCCGTTCCATGTGTCTGGAGTAGCACCTTCCTAGATCTGCATCTCCACAGATCTGCTTGCTGTGCCTCTTCAGTTAGACCACCTCTCTCATTCGCTTGGTTAACTTTTCCTCTCTCAACTTGTCATTGGCAGCTCTTGGTCTTCCCAGTTCACATGGTCAGGAACTCGCCGCCTTACCTAACCTCCAGGAGGGGTTTGCTTGGCTAGGATTGCTGTGCTCAGAGTCAAAATGTGTCTGTCTCAGGTGTGCTCATTGTGTTCAAGGGCTGTACCAAGAGCAGTTTGAGTGCAGGATGGCTCCTCCTATCTGTAGCTGTGAGATTGTCATCTAGCAATGATATTCCTGGAATCTTTTTCTCTGCTGGCTCGGTGCATGCAATATATATATATATATATATATAGATCCAAGATGTGCACATTTAATATTCATCACTATTAAGGTCATTTTTACCAGCTAGTCACTATGTGCAGTGGTGTTTCTGTGTCCTACTGCAAACTCTTTAGTGGTGCCTCTTCGCAGCAAACTTTTTCCAAAGAGCTGTGTAGCAGGCACCGATGCTTTCAGACAGGCTTTCCACCACGTTGCTGATCATCCTCCGGGGGCCAGGAAAGCAAGATGAAATCGTGCCCTCTGCTCTCCCCATCAGTGCACCCCCGTGCCAGGGGAGAGCAGCTCGGCAGAACGGAGGACTGAGTGGGCTAGCGGTCTGCCCAAGCCTCTCTTTGCGCGTGTGTTGGTGAGCAAAGCTGCAGCCCTGCCTGCATTCCCGCTGTTCTCTCGGCACCTCTGGAATCTCGATACCTGCTCTGGGCTGCCACCTCCTCGCGGGTTGTCCTAGGAGGTGCAGCGAGGTCTCAGCACGGCGCTCTGCTTGTTTCGAAGCCCTTTGGTTGCAGTCCTTTGGTCTCGGGGCCTGTTGGCCCTCGACATCTGCCTGCTGCTCCTCAGGTGTGCCTGCCAAACTGCCCACCTCCTGCTCCCACTGGCCTCCGTGGGAAGAGGGTCGAGCCCCAGCAAACGCATCTTTCTCAATGCCTCCTCCCCGGAGGAGCCCTAGGGGCTGCTTGGGAGGGTGCGTGTCCTCAGGTTGTGTGTCTGGACAGGCGACGAGCGAGGCAGGGTTAGGTTCGTTCCCCTGCCAGGGATGTCACTGTAGCTTTTTTTGTAGCTGTAGATGTTTGAGAAAATCATGAGGATATGATTTCCCTGCGTCGCGCGTGTTTCCCCTGTGTTGTAGCGTCCGTTCGGCCCATCCTTTAGCTTGGTGGTTGTGAAATGAATCCATCTGTTCTAAGATGTTCTCAGGAGTTCTTGTTTGTATTAAGATCCCCCCTAGGCTTAGCGGAAATCATGGTCCCCCGCCTTTTGCCTCCCCCCACCCCGCTCCGTGGCCGAGCCCTCTGTTTCAAGAGCACTTCCACCCCCTCCCCAGAAGGGCAGCGGGGGGCAGCTGGCGGTTTTGATTCAGGGCACGTTGGCAGCTTCGGGGCAGCCTGGACATTTGAGAGACACCCAGACGGCTTTCGTGGTGTTGGTTCACCCTTCGGTCCGGAGGCCGGGTGGTGCCTCAGACTGCATTGCTAGCCAATGTTTTCTAAGTCTGTTTGTAAGAGTACCTAATTTTAAAATGAAATGTGAATATATATTATGTGTAGGTGCCATGTAAGATAGTGTTGTGTTAGGCAGCAGGATGCTAACCTACTTTTTAAGCTTTTGGGGGCAGGAAAAGGCATTTTTTTCTCACTTCATGCTCACAGATCTAATATTGTAAATAGTTTTTTATATTTATTTCATGGGCTTTCCACAGGTTCTTGTCGTGACTGGCGTCGGTTGGTGGGCTGTGTCTCCCTGGCGGTCTCTGCTCCCCGGGGTTGTCCTGGGAGTTCGGCTTGGCACAACCAAAGGGCTGGCTTTTTGCATGGGGGGGGGAAGGGACGGGATGGGACGGGACGGGACGGGGTGGGACGGGGGGGCCG